GCAGAACTCTGAATGACCACCAACGACTGTGGAGGAACACGCATAAATGCCAAGGTCAATTTGGTTTTGGCGGCTATGTGTTCCCAGTTCCACTCTGAATACAGCGCTGAAATCATTTGGTTGTCATTGGCAGGATCCGCGGCACTACATCGTGAATGATGCACAATCATTGAGTGCTTTGATGATGATGTTAAGGGTAGCGAGGCGGTTGACACAGGGGGAGTTCAGGGACTGACCTCGACCTTACCCTTGCTGGCTTTCTCTTGCTGAGCCTGCGCCCTTTCTGAGCCTACTCCTACTGTCATCCCTACTATCCGTAGTACTACCCCTACCACCCCAACTCCTACCCCACCACCCCAACTCCTACCGTGATTCGTGCAGCAGCAGCAAATTCTCCATTAGGCCCTGAGCCTACTGACCATAACCCTGAGCCTACTGTCATCCCTGCCACCCCTACCACCCCTAAGGTATCTCCATTTGACGCTACCACGGACAGTGACTAATCTGTCCGTCGTCTTTGTACCTCTATCCTCATCCATCCATGTATCCTTTCATGTATCCTTTGTGTCACGACTGAATAAGCTTAAGTTTATTAACTAAATATATAACTATTGGATCCACATCCACATCATCGTTTCAGAGCCATCGGGCACATCAAATGGTAGGTCTCTTCACGTCACATCAAATGGTAGGTCTCTTCAAGTCTCTTCACGTCTCCTCTTCACGTCTCATCTTCCGGTCTCATCTTCAGGTCCTCTCATTGCCTGCTCCTCCACCTGCTTCTTCTTCTTGTTGGCCTTGTTTTCCTACGTTTGGCTGCCCTTTTGTGCCCTTTTTCAATCCTCCCTTTGGCACCTGGTACGAGTGCCTTGAAATGGTCGAATAGCGCTTTCATAACTTTGCTTCCTGGTTGTGCTGCAGATTTGCCTTGGGGGATCCTACCACTAAATTTCTCTTCGATAAGGTTGGTCAGAGCCCGGATGGCTTCCATCGTAGCCTCCTCATGTTTGTCCTCCTCCTGCATCTGCCTGCCATCCTCTTGGTCCTGGTCCTCCTGGCCGCCAAATGCATTCAGAAATTCATTCATTTCGGGCACAGCATTTGGTATTAGGGCGGTGTCAGTGTTGGGTAGGGTGGTACGATCAGCATCATTATCATCAGTGGTGGCAAAGAAAGTATCCACATGATGGTAGAGTGGCTTCCTTTTGCACCATCCAGCCCGTTTTGCTGCAGAATTCCTCCAGCTATGCCAATTCTTTCTTCTCTTTTTAACATTGGGGACATCGGCACCGTAATGAGCTTCCAGGTGCTTCAATGCTGGCTTTCCTGGGAGTCCCTCTGTATACTCCCTCACCAAAGCCTCAATGGTCAGAGGTAGATCTGCCGTGAACTCCACAGCCCCTGCCCAGTCTGGAGTTCCGTCGTTTGGCCAAGTTCCTGGATCCTTCAGGTCGACTGGAGAGTGTCTCCGGGGTGGCCTTGTGCAATCGCCATGGTGAGGTTTGTTGCACGGCTCTTGTATCTGTCTTGTCTCTCTTGTTCTCTTCTACCCAATCAACTTCACCTTCGGCGGCCATGAGATCTTCCGCCAACTCTGTGTCTGCGTCCTCCACTGGGGGGCCCATGTCATCCATCTCTTCCAAGATGATTCCTTCTCTTCTTCTGTGTAGTCTACCGCATAGACTTGGGGCTTCAAGATCTTTAGGATTTGCTTGAGATAGGACATGCCCTGTGCCCCAGTCCACGAAGATGCGGCTTCCTTCTTCTGCTTCTTCATCTTCTGGTCTTGCTCTTCCATTTTGTGCAATAGTTCTTCCCTGAAGGGATGGAACTCAGCATGGAGGAATGGCTGTGTGCAAAAGAACGGATGGTTCTTCATCTTGGGGTACATGACTGCCATATCCTGCACAAAATACTTGGCACCCACCTCTAGAAGTTGGAGGAACTTCTCGAGGGTGTTGTCATGCTTTTGAACGTCCTTCCAGAACTCTGGGTTCTCTGCCTGATGCTGTCGGACCTCCTTCACAAAGGGGAAACGTCATCCACAACTTTCTGTGGAGGCTGGACCAAATCCCTTGCCACAAACCAGGCATCTCTGTCCGGTATGTGAATCGGGTGTGAACTGGTATCCTGCAACCATGACACAAACTTGAAAGGCACGTGAGTGAGATAGTGATTGAACAGAGGCTCCCCGGTGCCTCCAGCCCCCATGCGATCCGATGTGGAAAGATTCTGCACCAGCCTGTTCCGCCTTTCTGGCACCGGTGCCTCTCTGCAAATGGAGCACGTGCCACGAAATGATGGGTGGTTCAACTCGCTCGTAGGCGGCGTGGAACAGACTGTTTGCGTTCTTGTAACTGAAGGGTTTGTTTGTTGCGGAGTGACAGGCCTGCCCTTTAGTGGCTTTTGTGTTTCCGTAGAAGAATCTCCTGTCATACCATGGATGATGATAATTGCCATTGTCTTGCATCACCGGGATGAAGTCCTCCATGTGGAGCTGTCCATGTGGATCCAAGTGTTGCTGCCTAAACAGCTCGGTTGTGAAAGCATTGAATCCACATCGACTTGGATCGTCTTTGTGTCGCATCTGAGCTGACACCCTGTTGTTCCCAGCTGTCACTGTTTTGCCTTCCATCATGACAACTGCAATTGCTTTCCCGGCTCCACTCATGTGTGTTGGTGGATCCATGAGACAATGGTCGGACAGAAGTACAACTTGCCTGTCATCACTTCTGAAAAGTCTGCCCTCACCGTAAAGATGCTGTGCTCTGTACCTTCAACGCATCATTGTAGGATAAGCCAGACTTCCTGTGTGCTAAGCTGTCACTAAATACCTTGGTGTGGACACTGTCGTCAAATAGACCAAACTGTTCCATCTGTCTGCCTTGTTCCTTCGAATAGCCCTGTTGAGATAATGCTGCCGCTCCTCTAGGAAGGTGTAGGAAATTCCGATTGGCAATTTGCTCCCTGAGGTATTTCCTGGCCACTGCCTTGATATCCCGTGGTCGTTAGGTCCTGCGTTGCCGTATCTGTCAAGGAATGCCGCCTCACCATGTTCCTTGCAATACTTTGCCTTTTGAATCTTGTAGTCAGCTCTGAGCCCTTTGAGTATATTCTCAAATGACCATTTGCTGTGAGGGGCCTCCTTGGTATATCCATTCTTTCCATCCCACTGCGGGCGAAGAATGAAATATCCTCCACAAATTCCATGCTGTGTTGGCGGTGGGCATTGTGTCAAAGACAACTTTTGTGGGTTTGGTCTTAAGGCCCTTAACTATCTCGCCAGGGCCTGCTTTGCACCACGCGTGGAACTCTGCAACATAGCCATTGTAGGTTTTTTGGTGCCATCTTTCCTGCCATCTGCCTCCAACTCTGCAGTCCTGTGGCGCACCGATGCCCTCTGGGTTCAGTGTGGACATATCCACCACCATCCAGATCATCTGGCCCATCCAGGCGTGACTCGCCATGTCGTCTAAGTCAATGGAAAGAGAAAGACCAAGACTACTTGCCCTGCTGCTAGCCCTGCTTTGGATAGAACTGGGACTGGAAAGTGAAGCCTCAGAGATTGGGAGGATATGTCGACACGGTTGGCGAAGCTGTTTCTGGGGTTTTGTGCTAGGACTCTTCTCGGGTTTCGTCGAGGTGTTTGCTTGGTTTGCTTCTTTCGCCTGGTGTTGTTGACAGCAGCAGTAGTAGCTGAGTGGAAGGTGGAGCCACGCGGCGCCTCCATGTTGTTGAATCTATCTTCTTCTAATAACCAATGCCTCTCTGTAGGGTAGTGATGTTTCTTCGATTGTTGTTTGGATTATGGAAAAACACTCTGGGCTCGTCTTCTGGGTTGATTCCCTCTGTCTGGTATGGCAGATCATCACCTCTCAGTTCCTCATCACCCAAAGGACGATTGCTGCCTTTGATAATGGTGGCCATGGTACTGAAAAGAGACAGAACTAAATATCGACTGTCATCTCTTAGAAGGAAGCAACATCCCTCTTTTTTTTTTCTTAGAAGGAAGCTTGACTTCTGTACATCATGAGAAAGATGTGGGGCGCCATAATGCATGGATCTGTTTATTGGCGGGAGACCTGTTGCCTATGTGACTTGGGTACTTAGGCCGATTCAAAATGCTGTCTAGAGCTAAATTTATTTCCTTACTTATGCACTTTCTGCCAGTACCGGGAGCGTAGGATCGTACAGGGAATCCCCAGCATTCCAGGTTTCTCCCAGGGAGTTGGCGGCAGTTGGTGTCAGTTACCCGAGATCCGATCACTGTTACCAGTAGGGGGTTGGTGTGTTTCCGATGGGTGTGGGGGTTACCAGTCGAATATGACTAGCTAGCTAGCGAGGACTTCGCTGTTTCCTTTGGGCAGAGACTTCCCGAATGAACCCTGACGCTATCGATCAGGTTCCCGATCATCAGAGGTTTGCTCAATCAGTCCGGACACTCTACACGCACTGTACTGTACCGTACCAAAGGGACACCAAAAGGTACCGGTACCGGTACAAACCATACAGGTAGACGGCGTCTGTCCCCTGGCTGCTAAACGTGGGTATTTGGAATTACTGAAATGGGCCCATGCCAATGGCTGTCCTTGGGATGCTCGGAGTCACTAGCATTACGGCTGCATTGGAAGGACATTTTTGCATTTTGGATTGGGCACATGAAAATGGCTGTCCAACATGGGATGTAAGGACTTTTTGGGGCTGAAGTTGTCTGCACATCCAGGTGTCCTTGAGTGGGCAAGCAACCATGGCTGCCGCGTACCGGCTCCGTCGGAGGGCATACTAGGCGCACCTTAGGCGTATCTGCTGTCCAAGTGAGACAATGTCCATTTGACTAGGACGAACTGTGTCTCTATAAACGTGTTCTAAAGTCGTGACATATACCATAGTAGCCAAAACGAACTTCTTTTTCTTTTCTCTCGCCATCGCAACAGCATACACTTTGTTTTCCGTTCCAATTTATTGTTGTTCCTCTCACTGTTCCTATATTTATGGTTGTTGTTGTTGTTGTTGTTGTTGTTCTCTCAGGCATGATCTCGCAGCCATTGACGACACTGGGTGGCATCGGGAACGTTCAACGAATTCAATTCGTCGTTGCATCGATCGAAATACGTATCGTCGGGATATCCAAAAGTCCCACCATGCATCGATGTCTTGTGATGAATGCTACTCCACGTCACAACGTTGGCTTGTCCTGTGGTGAGCGACGTGCCGACCATAAAATTGTGTCCATGCAAAAAGGCGTATTTCAAACGTTCCAACAAGTCTTGTCCGTGCGGGTTGTTGGGCAAATAGGCGGTCCGATGGGCACCGGAAAATGGTTGTCCTGGGTTTTGATGATACTCCTTTTGAATACCACCTTGAATGTTGTAGTTGATGGTGATGGTCCCCCCTGTGTTTCCCGAACAATTGCGATGGGTGTCTACCGAGATTGACATGGTCCCCGAGGGACATTTTCCCTTGGGGGCCTTGTGATCTTCCTGATGAATGGCCTTGGAACAGAGTGGACATTTCGTTCCCGCTTTGGTGAGTGCCTCGTGGATACAATCGTAATGAAAAAAGTGTCCGCATCCCTTCAAAGAAACCACGCGTCCACCCGTCGAAATGGCGTCCAAACAAATGACACAATCGTCGGTCGTATCTTGTTTCTTTTCGTCGTCGGCATCGTCAAAGACTTTGGCTTCGTCCAGATGGACTTCGTGCAAACGATCGGGTGCCGTGTACGTCAAATGCTCGCCGCCAGGACGTCCTCGACTGCGGCGTGAACGTGTTGGAACGGCAACGGCGGTTGGAACGGCAATGGCAGCCGCAGAAGGAGCAGCCGCAAAGGCAGCAGCTGCAAATGCAGGAGCAGCCGCAAACGCGGGTACAGCAGCAGCAGCAACGGGAGGAACAGTGACACCCGGGGCGACAACCGGAGGTAATCCATTGGTGGTTCGTTGAATGGGTCGTACTTTGCCGCTTTGCGTATTGCGCTGTGTCATTCGCTGAAAATCCAATTCATATTGATAGCCGCTCGTTGCTGTAAACGGAACCAAATGGCGTGCTCGTTTGCTGGGGCTGGGAGTGCGATTCTGCTGGTAGAGCTGTTCCACCGTTTGATTCATGTTCATGTCGTAGACATACCATCCATCGGGCAACACGCCGTGAGGATCATTGCGGAGGAAATAGTACCACTGAGGATAGCTGCTCGACATGATTGATATCGTGGAGATGCGAAAAGAAAATTTTTCGCGTGGAGTTTTTGAGCAATTATGAGAGCAATTCAAACAAAGCGGATTGCTTGTTGTGGCTATACCGAGCCGTGAGAGAGAGAGTCGGGAGGAAAGGAGAAGACCACGAAGCAACACAACCAAAAGCAAAACCACGACAGGGAGGAGATATGAGAGAACCTCTTGATCTCGATCTCTCTGTTGCTTTCGCTGTTGGCTTCAACTTCTGCTTTTCGCGTCACAAACGTGCTTCAAACTTCGAACCGTCGAACCGTGTTTTCAGTCTCGCGTGACTTAGCTTCCACGCTTGCTTCCCACGAAGTCAGTCAGCCGAGATGGAGGACAATGATGAATGGTTGTTGCTACGATGTGTACGGTATGGTACTGCAATCCTATTAATACTGTATAAGAACGGTGCTGCTAACTTGGTCCTGATTATTGGCGGAGTTGACTGCGAATGTTACCAACGCATCGTTCGCGTAGGATTGGATTGGATTCAATCATTCCAATCTGTCGCCCCATGGCATGCGACAGTCCCGAGGACTAACATGCATGTATTGTTTCTCCCTGCCTTTTAGAATTATCGCACTCTGCCATTGCAAATTTTCAATTTTAATGCAAACTAGAGTGGTCTATGTAGGAGTTACTTTGTGCGCTTTTGGTCTAATCTGGTTGAGTTGATTGATTGATTGATTGAATTGATTTTCGAGTCGCATCGTTCTTTTTCCTTTGGGAGTGCCTTGTGCGTGGAAACTCCTACATGCCACAAACACAATAAAAATTAATGAAACAAGCAGTGGTCCAGTGTTGTTACTCTTCATCCAACACATCCATGTATTCCTTCTTGACAATACCACTCTTTTCCAATCCAAATCGGATTGGCGCCAGCAAGGCAATGACAATGGGAAACAGAACTCCAATCTTGCTCTCCTTGAGCCAAAATGTCGCTGCCAAACAGGCCACTTGGATACCTGTAAACAAATTGACGGTATTGCGTGGGACCTTGTCCGTCCATCGTTCCTTGGGTGCCACCGTGGGATCCTTGATGAGACCAACAATGCGTTCCCACATTTCATTGCCCGGCAGAGAGCTGGTTCCCAAGTACAGGAACAATCCCATCAACACCGACAAGGGGACATTGGTCAACAATTGACGTGGTTTGCTAAACAAGACACAGCAAGCAATCAAGGAATGAATAGCGACACCCGTGACACGTTGTTCAATGGTTCCCACAACCTTGCCATTGGAATCGTATTTCGACAAGGCTCCGACATGAGACAAACTTCGGACCGTGGCGGCCACCAACCACGGAATCCCCAAGACGGATTGAATGGCTGTCAAGATGGAAACGACCATCATGTCCGCGTGCATCCCATCCAAGACATTTCCCTTGCGACGTCCCTTTTCCATTTTCCAACGAGGATTGTTCACCAATCGAACGGTAATGTTCTGATCTAGGAATAGCAGTACCGTCGCCATGAGGGCGGGAAGGAAGGCACCCCAGCGAGCCCACATGGGCAAATCCAACAAGGGGACCAACCAGGGACGACCCGATGTGGTGGCAAAGGTTGTAGGCATGGCGAGTGAGGGCAGTCCTGCGACGGCAGCGCCTTGGGAGATGCGAGCCCAACGTGCCAACAAGGTGGCTGACACGACCCCAATGGCCGGTCCAAAGTTGGAAATGGTGTTGCGAATGCGCCGAGTGAAAAATGAACTTTTTCGTAGGCCCTTTAGGGCCCCTGCCATAGTGTAGGTTGTAGTTGCAAAAGCAGCTGTCAGGAGTGCCTAAAGCGAAAGTAGAGATGAGCGAGAAATGAGTGTGAATTGATCATGGCAAACTCCTCAGAGATTTCGCATTTTTGCATTGCTTTGGCTTGTACTGTACCTTGGTAAAGGTCGATGCTGGGTTGGAAAAGGTTCCTGCCACATCCGAAAAGGCTTCCACTACAAAAATGGCACTAATCAGAGTGGAAAAGATTTCATCGGTAAAGCGCGTCAGGTACTTGACAAGATTGGATCCCGAAGTAATGGCCGACGCAAAGAGAATCCCCGAAGTCCACAATCCCGTCCAGGCGTAGAGGGGTAGAAAGGGTAGATTCAAGGAAACGGCCAATTGGTACACGGTAGCCACAAATGCCAGAACGGGACCGGTACTGCCAATAATGGTCAAGGGTTGGGCACTGGTCAATGCGTAGGCAATGCCACAAAAGGCAGTGGAGCTGACCATTTCCATGACTCCAATGGCTCCATCGGTAGCGACATTAAACAGACTTCCGAATCCAATGGCAGGAGCCAGACAGGCAAAGAACAAAAACATGGTGGCGGCCAAGCACTGATGACATAATGAAAATGAAACACAGCAGAAAACAAAAAAACATCAGACCATTTTGGTTCCTCCAAGCAGAGTTCGCATTCATCGTATTGTCTTTCTCTCTCTCTCGCACACACACTGTGCCATGCCATTATCACTACTTACTTGCACATTGAGTCCATCCTTGATATCCGACACCATCAATGGCAATCGGGCCTTGTAATCTCGAATGATTCCCCTTCCAATGGGTTCAAACAGCCGATCACCATTGGCATTTTCAGCGTCACCGTACCAATCTCCAGCCGTGACGGTCGCCTCGGTGGTTGTGATCAATCGAGTGGACGATGGGGTGGGTGACTGGACCAACACAGCGCTTCGAAGGGCCGGTTGAAAGGAGCATCCCAAATGGGGTAGCAGCAATACAACGACGGCGGCAATTGCCTTGACCATGGTCAACAGTTCCAAAAAAGATTCGAATCTAGCTAGAGATACGAGTGTTCCGAGGAAACTGAAGTGTCGATCTATGAGCAGCTGAGCAAGGGCGTAGGATCTTCCGTCAAGCAGAAAGAATGATGATACTCCATCCCAAAGGCTACATGTATCCGACGCGGAAGTTGGTGGATGTGAGAATGCATGACGAGTGTGAATCTTCATCAAAGAAAGAAAATCGCCATCTGTAATTGCACTCTGGTTGGTTCAACTGCTTCCGTGGAATGTCGTGATGACGTCGTGACAGCAACCCGAAGGCCGTTAAATGAATTTTCTCACATTTTTCATTTGAGACTGTATTTAGTAATGAACATGACGTCATAGTTTGAAAGCGCACAGTTGCTCCTTTTTAGCGCGGAAGCGGACCAACTCCAGGCCCTCCGAAAGAAGCTTGTCACAAAGAGTTTGAGGGACTGCATGGGACACTGTTCCACTCTCCTGGCCTTGCTAGCTAGATTGAGCAATCATTGCTACATGTAGCGGACAAGGTGTTAGTTAGGCTTAGCAGCAGGAAGAGATCCAGAGAAAAAGCCGCTCTAGCTAGCTAGGCGTTCATCGTCGTTCTTCTCCATCCAAAAGATTAAACCTCATCTGCGGTCCACCACCGTTGCCAATGTCAACGACAACCGCTGATGACGATGACGACGCCATTTGAAAATCCAATGAAAAAGGCAAAGGTAGAACATGAGATTCCAAGTCCTGCGAATGATTTCCTGAATCAAACCGATATTTGGGTCAAGAACATCCTCCCATTTGTTGGCGGCATGGGGCAATTTGTCTTTTTGGCACCCGTCAGCCACAAGATGAAAGATCTCTACGCAGCATACTGCAACACTCTGAAGAATCCTCCAAAGGTCAAAGAGGAGAATGGCAAACTACGACCAGCGACTCCTACTGACACAATCTTCTGTGAAACTTTCTCCTGTGTACCTCGTGCCGATTATTGGTTTACCTACCAACATACTGGCACAGGAGGTCAAATTGCTCACAGGCTTGTTTGCACTGCAGTTGCCAAAGTGGGTAATATCCAAGTGCTTCAATGGGCCCAGGAAAGGGGCTACCCATGGAATATAGAAGTGTCCTGTGTGGCTGCAAAATATGGCCATCTCCGAGTCCTAGAATATGCTGTCAAAAAGGGCTATCCATTGGGAGCAGCATGTGCTTGCTTGGCAGCAGAAAATGGCCATGTGAACATCATCAAGTATGCCCGTGAAAATGGATGTCCATGGGGTAGCATCAATGCATGTAAAATGGCAGCTTGGTTTGGCCAATTGGATGTCCTCAAATATGCTCATGAAATCGGCTGCCACTGGGATGTCTGGACCTGCATAAAGGCTGCTGAGAGGGGGCATTTGGGATGCATCAAATATGCTCATGAGAATGGCTGTCCATGGAACATTTGGACAAGCCACAGCGCTGCAGCAAATGGCCATTTACAAATCTTGAGATATGCCCATGCAAATGGTTGTCCATGGGACAGAAGCACATCCCTCTATGCAGCCGGGAATGGTCACACACCATGCCTCAAATTCTTACATGAAAACGGCTGTCCATTGCATGAAAGAATATGCAGGGTTGCTGCATCCAATGGCCATCTACAAGTGCTGAAATATGCCCATGAAAATGATTGCCCATGGGACGCAAGAACCTGCAGCTCTGCTGCTTCTGGTGGACATCTGGAAGTCCTGAAATATGCGCATGAGAATGGCTGTCCATGGGATGATTTGGCATGTCGGTGTGCTGCTGATGTTGGTAACTTGGAAATCCTGAAGTATTTACATGAAAATGGTTGTCTATGGGATGAGCGCACCTGTACCCTTGCTGCAAGCAGTGGTCACTTGGAGATTCTAAAGTATGCCCATGAGAATGGATGTCCATGGAACAAATGGACATGCAGCAGAGCAGCTGCAAGAGGCCATTCCTGCATCTTGAAATATGCCCACAAAAATGGATGTCCGTGGGACGAAGATACTTGCACTGAGGCTGCTGGAAATGGACAAGTTGAAAGTCTGAAGTATGCACATGAAAGTGGCTGTCCGTGGTATGAAGAAACCTGCTACCGTGCTGCCAGTGGTGGCCATCTGGAGGCGCTCAAATACGCTCACGAGCATGGATGCCCATTTAACCAAGCTCTTCTGCTGCGACATGCAGCTTCGCAATGTCACGTACGGGTGTGGATTCAAAGAATGGAAGGGATCCTGCCAGATCGTACAGACTATTTGGTTCGCCCAAATCTGGATGGGCCAAGGCAGGGACGCCCACAGCCTGTACTTCCGAGAAACCCAAGGTAGACTAGTTGCCAACTTTGATCAGAAACCACTATTTTAATTAAATTAGAGGATGTGTCAATCCCCTTTTTATCACTTTGTGCCCTGGTCTGTTGATTGGATTGTGCCATTCCGCTCTTCTCGTATCATTGCTCAGGGCTCACCCCTAACCATTTCTCTCGTGATCCAGCGCATAGTCGCGGGCATCCTTGGACCCAGCCATCACTGAGCGCAGGTGATGGGCACGAACCATGCTCTAGCTAGCTACGTAACTGGGCAAGTTCACGCTGACATCATGTAAAGCAATCAAAATTGGTTTTAACTGGCAAGCTGTTCGCACCATTTTTTAATCCTACAAGTAGCTTTCTGTACTGTGATTTCAGTACATGACAAGCAAGCAAGTTTTATACTGCGACCTTGCCTGTTTCGGGCAACCTTTCACTTGTCACTGTGTTTGCCTCTGGCAACAAAATCTTGTCCAACCCAGCATCAGGGGTAGATATAACTGGTCTGGTGGTGGTCATGACATGAGCCGAAACAATGCTCTGCCAAATGATATCAAACAGACTGGATATCAAGACACGGTACTCCAGTGGTGCATTGTACACCAAGACGTTGGCAAAGCTCCAAATTTTGGCATTGTCAATCAGTAATGCTGGTAGTTTTGTTTGCACTTCTCTTGGAATAGAACGATTGTCGCTGGTGGGGTTGAGCAATGTCGGCACTGGGATATCCCAAAAGGTATAGATGATCGGAGCTCCTACAAACTGTTCCAACAGAATGGACGTCATTGTCTTGCCAGCTATCGCAGCACCCGTGCCACCACCGAGGCTGGAGAGCCATTCCGTCATTGTCGCGCCACCACCATCATTGCTGCTGCTGATTGGATACTGCATCAGTTGATTGGTCCATAGTTCATTGGTGCCAAACCAGACTGACCAAATGACACCTCCTCCAAATCCTTTGAGCATGAATCGCGCCAATCTGTCCGTATCCAATGAAAAGGTTGCAGTGGTGGAACTTGGCAGAAAAAGAATATCGTCTCCTTTCGAGCTTTTCCTTTGTTGGAATTGGCCAAATTGAGCCACAACATCACCGATCCCCGAAAGAATGGAGGAGGTCACACACTGAGTTGGCAGTGGATAGTGGGCCAAACAGTAATTGTACTGGTTTGCGACGGCAGATGCCAGATGCAAGTCAATGACGGCATTGAGAGAGGTTGACGACGAGGACCTTGCGTGTCCGACAGAATCAAGCATAGATGATTGTGCAGCAGAGTTTTTCCTGTTCTGGATGTGGTCGCTGTAGATCGATCTGGGAGACTTTCCAGCGCCAGCAACGTCGTTGGCGGGTACCAAAAATGCCGATGACGATGGGAGCAATGATATAGCCAACAGAGACATGGCGAGGACGAGATGGGATCTTCGTATTCTCATTGTTGCTGAAGATTGTGGATTGCTTTTTCCTTGTCGTCTTTTGTTACAAGCCATTGGTTGTCTCATTCTACTCGAGTTTGTTTTCTTTTCTACCGGCACTTCTACCGCCTCTGTGGTTGTTTTGTGTCGGCATGTGGTTGCTTTCAGAATTCTTGGCTGCTTCTTCAATTCGAACGATTTGCAATTGGCTAGGTGGCTTACGGACACGTAATTGGTGGGGAAAACGTGGCTTCCTGGGTCTTGAATAAGACGTCATTCATCAGTCGTGGACAACAACGCAGTACCGTGGGACTTGTTCCACGCTTCGGATGAGCACACCCACTTCTCTCTTTGGAAAGGGCTTTGAACCTGGGCATGGTAGCGGTACTTCAGGAATGATTAGAAAACATATTTTTATCAGGAACACACGAAATAGATCACTCTATATTCTTGCCACCGCTTCCTTCCCCAACGCCCTTCTCAGATTGGCTGTTGTTCTGTTGCTATGGAATACATGTAATACGCCTGTGGTCGAAGCAGCGTTCACAACCATCAGCGTTGGAGGAGGCTACACGTCATCGTCCAACGCGTGGGCATGTGGCTTACTACCGGTACAAGACAGCGCCAGCGGAAGCATCGAATGCTTTGAGCCCCAGGAGCCTTTGAACGACGAAAAGGAATATGTCGTCAAGGGACGTCTCGATGGGGCATACACGGGAATTTCGGTTGGCGGGAGTAGCACCCCCAGCCAGCTGCATGCGTGTGCTGTCGAGTCCATCACTGGCCGCATTCAGTGCTGGGAACCTTACACATTGGACGAGGCTTTACCATACCAAGCCAAAGGAGATCTCACCCCACCAGTCAACGAACAACCATATACCCATGTGGAAGTAGGAGGCAGCTCATCTGGCAGCTATTTTGCAGCTTGTGCCATCCGAGATGGAGGAATTGATTGCTTCAATCCCTACAGTCCTACAGAGACAGGAGTTACCTATGAAATTATGGGAAGTCTTCCAGGAGACTACTCCAGTGTGTCAGTGGGCGGGCAAGCAGAAGATGAACCCTTTACCCACGAGTTTGCTTGCACCACGCTCAACAATCCAGCTCAAATAGACTGCTTTGATCCTAAAGCTCCCGGCATTGATGGCACTGTGCCACTGTCTCGGTTGGGCCATCTTCCAGGTTCTTACCAAGAAGTATCCGTGGACGCAAGCAGTTCCCCTTCCTACATTTATGGCTGTGCTTCAAGGGCAGACCGCACAGCGGTAGATTGCTTCGAACCTTATACGTTCGAAGATACTGTCAAAAGCTACACAATCGCCGGATCTGCTCCTGGTTCCTTTGAACAGGTTTCAGTGGGTGGCGGCAGTTCCCCGTCCTACCTCTATGCTTGTGGACTCCGTGAAAGTGGCATTGATTGCTTCAGTCCTTACTTTGTGCCTCCCGTTCCCGTGACAACGACCAATACTACATATGAAGTGACAGGATCGGTGGCTGGAAATTACCACCAGGTGGCCCTCGGCGGAGCGGCAGCTACAGACGCGTTCTATGCTTGTGCCATCCGAACCAGTGGGGAGGCCATTGATTGTTTCAATCCTTATACATTCACCGAAATTGGATCTACCTATGAGATTGATGCTACCTATTTTCTGCCTACTACCGCTGCCCCCACGGTGAGCCCTCCACCAATGTCCAGTCCTACCACAGAGACGCCCACCGTCGCCACAGCCACACCGCCGCCGCCACCACCAGCGATCGAGTCCACCTCACCACCACCAATCGAGTCAACATCGCCACCACCAATGGATTCTTCAACTTCACAAACGGCCTCTTCCTCTTCCACCACAGCGACGTCCATGGGGAGAGTTTTTTGGATTTCAACTATCCTTTGCTGCGCCACTGCACATTTTTGTTTCTAGCGACAATTAGCTATTATGTACTAGTGCAAGAGACGCGAGCATTTAAGCTTGTGACACCTCGGACTATGACACTTGACCATTGTCTAGGAGCGAACAGACACTGACTTAGGTGGCATTTTTTCCATGCTTCGGAGAGCTTCTCTTTGGAAAGGGCTTTGAATTGCTCCTCTGGGGACATTGCCGTGTCTTGGAGACGATGGCATCGGTACCGGTACCTGGTACCGGTACTTCAGGAATGATTAGAAAATATATTTTTATCAGGAAAGCACCAAATAGATCACTCTAGACGTCCAGCTAGGGAATGTCTTGGCAGAAATTGTTTCTCTTGGGAAGTACGATAGTTACATCCCATTAGACTTGCCATTCCATGAAGTTAGTTGAAAACTGGAGTTTGGCGGTCGTCCGCTTTCCAATTTTCATTTTCCTAGCACTGAGATTATGGGGCTGG